TTTTTCAGATTAATCAATAGATTAAATGCCATGATAATCCCATTTTAGTTGGATTTTTTTTGAGGCACTTAATAAACTTACTTTAAAATTGATTTGGAGAATCAATAAAAGTTTTTGAAAGCTAAATCAACTTTTAAAAAGAATAGTAAAAGGGGAACTTGTCTATTATATAATAAGACATTTTTTGGCCAGGCACGGTGACTCATGCCTGTAATCCCAGCACTTTGGGAGGCCGAGGCAGGTGGATCACCTGAGGTTGGGAGTTCAAGACCAGCCTGGCCAACATGGTGAAACCCCGTCTCTACTAAAAATACAAAAAATTAGCTGGGCATGGTGGCGGGCACCTGTAATCCCAGCTATTTGGGAAGCTGAGGCAGGAGAATTGCTTGAACCCAAGAGGCGGAGGTTGCAGTGAGCCGAGATCATGCCACTGAATTCCAGGCTGGGTGACAGAGCAAGATTCCATCTCCAAAAAAATAAAAAAAGGACATATTTTAAAGCCATAGTTATGAAAACAATTTGGTAAAGAGAAATTGACAATGGAACAGAGTAGAGAACTCAGAGCATCCCCGTGTGCATAGGGGGATCTAACATATAAGAGAAGGGATACTACACATCAGTGGGAAAGAACAATATTAATAGAAATACATGAAAATTAAGGATTTCTCTTCAACAAAAGACATCATGAAGAGAGTAAATACATGATGGCCAAAAGGGGAGAAAATATTTGTAATATCTATAATTGGCAAGGGATGTATACTCTATATGGACTACAAATCAAGAAGAAAACAACAACCACAATATAGAAAAATGGATAAAGGGCATAAATAGGTAATTTCAGAAGAGGAAACACCGAAAAGTAACAAGCATATTATGAGATGCTCAAAATCATTGGTAACCTGCCAAATCCAAATTAACAGAATCAGATACAACTTTGCATCTATTAAAGTTGAAAAATAAAAGTGATGGGAAATACTTGGCAGAGATGCTGGGCTTTGGCGGGGTGTAGAAGGATGTAGATGTTCCAGAGCGTGGTGTGGAGCTACGTAGTAAAATTAAAGATATGAATAGTGTATAACCTCCAAATTCTCTTCCTGGGTAAACATCCTAAGGAAATTCCCGCACAGTCCACAAGAACTGTCCAAGGGCTGTCTGCACTGGCGAGAAAATGCGGCAGTTGCACACTATCGAGTATCGCCCAGAAGCTGGAAGCCAGGATCAGATGCATGCATAGCACCACACGGCTACATCTTAAAAAACCTAGCATTTACGGAAAAACATTAGGGAACATAACAAAATACATAACATAAAAGCAGGTATGTAAATGTAAAATGCATGCACATAAAACAACAATGTATCTTTTTCAAAGCATATTCCTAAGAGGAAACAAAATGACAAGCAAGAGAGGGGTGCTTGCATGGAACTATGTGGCATGAACTGAGGAGGAGGATTAACTCAACCCTCTGCACCTGAGACAGCAACAACTTATGTTAACATAATAACAAAGTAAATTATTAAACAACTTACTTTCTCCAAAGTTAGATTAAAAACTAGCTCTGAATTCAAGTTTAGAGACCTTTGTTAAAGTTTCCAATCTATTTCTTGCAGGACATTTAAAAACATACTTCCGGCTGGATGCGGTGGCTCACGCTTGTAATCCCAGCACTTTGGGAGACGGAAGCAGGCAGATCACTTGAGGCCAGGAGTTCGAGACCAGCCTGGCCAACATGGCGAAACCCCATCTCTACTAAAAATACAATATTAGCCAGGCATGGTGGCAGCCCCCTATAATCCCAGTTACTCAGGAGGCAGAGGCAGGAGAATTGCTTGAACTGGGGAGGCAGAGGTTGCAGTGAGCCGAGGTCGTGCCACTGCACTGCAGCCTCAGAGACAGAGCAAAACCCCATCTCAAAAAAAAAAAAAAAAATTAATTTTAAAAAAACATATTTCCGGATACAACAGCATAGATTCATAGTCCAGCCGGTTACATGACGATTCCCAAGCTCCTTCTTATGTGAGCATGAAAGGACCTCGATGGCAGTTTCTTAAGTGAGATGAGAGATGGGGACATAGTCCAAAGAAGCTGATGCTTTCAGCCCTTCCTGCTTATCAGGTGCCATGCTAAGGCTGTTTGCTGTCATCTTCACAGTGAGAGGGAGGTATCATACACCCACTTTGCGGAAGAGGCAACTAAAGCTCAGAGCAATTCAGTGAGTTGCCCAAGGTCTGCAGTTAGTTTGAAATCAGCCCTCTGTGCTCTTTTCGGCACACCATTCTGAAAGGTATCAAAGAGTACAGAAGCCCAGGTTCATTTTGAGTCTAAGCACTGCATAGCTATGAAGAACTTGAGGGCCATGTTGCAGCTATCAGCCAGGACAGCAGGAAGCCCAGCAGCAGCGCTTTGCCTTTGCCTTCCTGGAAGGACAGGTGGAGGCTCACCTGCACCATTTCCCATGAAGGACTTGCTAATTTCATCTGGCTCTGCAGCACCATGTGCTGGGCTACCTTGCGTTGCCCTCTGGCTTGCTCTAGCTGTTCCCTGAGACTTCTTTTAGCAGTGCCCATGTCTTCAGTGGGTGTGCTCTCTCTTCATGGCAAAATCCTCAAGGTCAGGGCTACAAATGGGACTCCCTCTGTACAACCCCAGACAGGCAGCCCATATAAACACAAAGGAGATGCCTACCTATTAATTATGTCCTAACTGAATTGAAATGCAATGTTTCTATCCATCACATTAGTTTGGTAGACCTTTGGATTTGAAACTGATTTGTTTATAAGAATCGGCTAGTGAAAAATGTTAAACCATAATTGTTAAAAGTGCTGGGCCTCACAGCAGTCTACCTACAGGTGATTCACCACAGCATTCCTGGTAAATGCGGGCAAAGTGAACACACATTACGAGCGAAAGAGTCTGGGCTGGCCATCGAAAGACTTAGAATCCTACAGCCAAGAGGAATTTTAGGAGACCCCATCCCTTGGCTCCTGACAGCACCAAGACTGTGATGAAGGGCATATGCCTTAGCGTCAAGGTGGCCCTAGGTTCAACCCCAACTTGACCTGGTGGGACCTGAGGCAAGATCTTAAGCTCTTCAGACTTAGTTTCTTCATCTGCAAAATACGAATGATAATACATTCCTCATAGGATTGCTGTGAGGATTCATTGCAATTGTGAATGGACAGGGTCTAATAGAGTAGCTGGAACACAGTAAGTGCTCAATAATGCTCCCTATGTATGTTGTTAAAATTACAAATAAATGTCTCCAAGAATGGAGCCTCACTTAGCAGTATAATGAACATCCATCCCAGCAAGATAGAAATAAACATGATAATCTCTGCTTAAATGGTCAGAGGCCACAGTGACTTACCCAGGTTCAATGCCGAGTACATGGAAGAAAAATCACTTGCAGTTCATCTTTCATTCATTCACACTTTAAAATGTTTAGCCTATATAGAAAATATATCCTGTATGTTAAATTTCCCTAGCATTTTTCTGAAGGATGCTTCTTAAAAGCAAGTTAGAATGGTATATTCATAGAGTTAGAAAGAAATGTTTGTAGAGGTTACACAAACAATGTTTTTTTTAATCTGGGAAATCTTTTTATAAGCTTCTCTCCACTGCTACCACTGGCAAATAGTGAATCAGCTGTTTCCCCCACAATTCCTGCTACAGGGAGCTCACAATGTGACAAGGCAGTCCTCACAAGTTACTGCGGCTCCATCACCATCAACATCTAAAATACGCAGGCAGTGAGCAAGACTCTAAGTCCCGTAGGAGCTGAGTCCGGGTAACTGGTTCACTGCCATATGCCCAAAACCTAGAAGCACAGTGATTTGTGACCAAGCAGGTGATCAAGATATATTTGTTGGATGGATGGATAGGTGGATGGATGGATAGATGGGTGGATGGATGCATGCATGCATGCATGGACAGATGGATGGATGGACAGTCGGATGGACAGATGGATTGATGGATGAATGGATGAATGGATGGATGGACAGATGGATGAATAACATGCCCTCTCTGGGTGCTATAGAATAAGTTAAACCTGTTTATTCTCCTTTCATACTATGGCTTAGAGTCCAAGGCACTAAATCTAAAGTAAAGATTTGGGGATATTTTATGTGATGCAGTTATAGAATTGTAACTATCCTAAGACATGTAAACAATCCCAGGTTTGGGTGTCAGTAATAAAACTCCTTAAAGTGAATTACCCACTGATTACAGGGGTATGGGTAGTTGTCAAGTGAAAACAGTCCATTGACTTTCAAATATTAACACTTACAGATGCCTGAGACATAATTATTAAGAATTGCATTTAGTTCTTCTGTAATCTGTAACCAGATATAAGCTACCATCTATTTTGAACTTAATACAAGGCCTAAGTCCTTAATAGAAATGTATGTAATTCTGAATTGATCACAAGGACAGACTTTTGACAGAACCTGCTCATATTTTTCAAAAATATCTGTCTACTTATTGACAACATGGTCTCTTTCTCAAATTAGTTATTGGACTTACTAACTGTTGTATCTGAGAGGAACCAGATTATCAATAGCTCAAGTTATATATATAAATTAGTGCATTCACTTTTATTAATAATAAATGAGGCAAGTCACCTTGCTCCAAACTGACTGTGCCATATCTTGCATTGTTTTCTCTTTTGCAGAATTTCTTTTCATTTGCTGAATTAAGTCGGGCCCAATGACTGATTTATTGTTTTCTTCACAAGAGGAGGGGGGAAGCATTAGGTACCTGGTACCCAGCAAAAGCCCAATAAGCAAAGTTATCAGTGGAATTCCTCAATGTGACAAAGGGCTGGATGAGGGGTTCCTTGCTGGTACAACCAGGTCACAAGCCTAAGAAGGCTTGACGGGTGTGGCTGGCTCCCCCCATGGCCCTGCTCTGTTTCTGATCTGGGCTTTGCTGCCCTGGGCTGGGCTGCTTCTCCTGGCTCTCTGCAGGACCTCCAGGCTCCAGGAATTTGGACCGAGTGGTAGAGACATCGCCGGCAGAGACGGCAATCGCCAGCTTCCTCTCTGCGCTGTCTTGTGATTCAAAGCAGATTCTGCTCCACTTTTTTAAAAGGGGAGCACATGAATGCTGGAGACCCACAAGAACAGAATTGAGCAAGGAAAGGTGCAACAGTGATACAAAAGTCCGTGAGTAAGTGGCTCATTCGAGGTGAGCCATGACAGGGATTTGTTCATGGGGAGCCCAGGGGCATCAAGGTCTGATTGCTGACAGTGTTCTTGTGGGAGGTGGGAGGTTATAAGAGCTGCAATAACCCTGGGGCTTAAGAGTTTTGCAAATGATCCTGGGCTGGGACACAAACACACACACACACACACATACACAGAGAGAGAGAGAGAGAGAGAGAGAGACCGAGACCTGTGTACCAAGGTCATCCAAGCACTGCATTTGTACTTGGCTGCAGGGAGGAAGGGTTGGAAAAAAGAGGATGTTTTCTATCTTGGACCTTTACCTAAAATAGGCACCATCACGCTCAGCGGCCTTGCTTGCAAACTTCTACAGCAGGGTGAGCTGGAGAAGTGAGTGTGAATGTGAGCTGCAGGGTAAGCTGCTCACTGGTGAATCCAGGAAGTGACTCTGGACCTCTTCTTACATCAGTCTGGTATGATACCACAGTTAGATAACAGCAAAAATTGCTGCTGGCTGGATGTGTGGCATGGTCATCGAAAACATTTTTTTGCTTTGCCTTTTTCTTCTTGCATTATTTTCTAGCTAATGATCTCTCTTCCTTGGAAGAGTACATTTCTGTGGTAGGAACTATCTTTGTGAAAATATTCTTTTTTAGAGACAAATTGGCATCACAAGAATTCTGATATTCGAGGTACAATTAGTTCACGTATCAACATTTTAATGCACATTGGTATTCTCAAAATTGTATATACTACTCATAGAAGAGCAGGATTTGAGTCACAGCCCTGTTTCTTTCCCCATATAAATGAGTCACTGAGCCTCAAAGGTTCAATCATCCCTTTATAGATGAAATATAATAACAGATACTAGTCACATTGTTGGGACGATTAACTGCAAATGTACAAAGTCGTTTTTAACATAGTAGATAATTATTTATTATTATTCCTGATAGACACGGCACAGCTATAAGCTGGCTAAATACCAAGAACAATGAGTAGGATTACCTCTTACATTTCTTTTCCCAACACAATGCTTTGCTTCTGATCTGACCAGGGCTTTGCCAAAGTCACACATCCAGTAAGTGGCCGAAGCAGATCTTCAGACCCACAGTTTGGCTTCCAAAGGACCACAGTGAGTATTTCTAATGCTGAAACAAGAGGGTGCAGCTCTGCAGCCCAGGCGGGTGGGCCTCAGGGTGGGTAACCAAGACAGCTCAATGCATGTCTCCCTCAGCCGTCCCCAGCCCCTAAAAAGAGAGCTGGGTGTCCCAGTCCTCTGTGGGATACAGTCCTCTTTCATCACCAGTTTCCAGCCTACCCTGCATCTCTTCCCTCTGAATTGCAGAAACCCTCCCAGCCTCCATGCCACCTTTCCTGGTCACCCTCTTCCTCCTTCACTCTTGCTTCCTCCAAGCAAATGGCCACCTCCGTGAAGGAATGACATTGCTGAAGACCGAATTTGCACTTCGCCTCTACCAGAGCGTGGCCGCGTGTAGAAACGAGACGAACTTCGTCATCTCTCCTGCTGGTGTGTCCCTTCCCTTGGAGATCCTGCAGTTTGGAGCAGAAGGGAGCACTGGCCAGCAGCTGGCAGATGCCCTGGGGTACACTGTCCATGGTAAGAGGCCTGCCCACATGCACACTCACTCACCCTTCTGCTCACACTCATGCTCTCCAGCTCACCCTCCTGCTCATACTCACACTCTCCAGTTCACCCTCCTGCTCACACTCACACTCACTCTCTCCAGCTCACCCTCCTGCTCAGCACCCCTCCCACTCACTCTCTCGCAGGCGTCACCCTCCGGCCTGCTCACATTCACTCTCTCCAGAGCTCAGCCCTCCTGCTCACACTCACCACTCTGACTCTCTCCGGTCACCTCCTGCTCACATTCATCTCTCCGCTCACGCCTCCCGCGCTCACACGTCACACCACTCTCTCCAGCTTGCACCCTCCGTGGTCACACTGGCACACGTCACCTCTCTCCAGCTCACCCGCGCGCGTTCACTCTCTCCAGCTCACCCTGCGCTCACACCTCAGCAGCGCGAGCGCGCGCAGGCAGCGCGCGCCGGCGCGCACGCAGAGTCACTCTCTCCAGCCACCCTCGCTGGCTCACATTCACTCTCGCCACTCACGCGCGCGCAGCGAGCGAGCGCGACGCCGAGCGTCACCCTCGCGCGCCGATAGGCGGCACAGCACGCGCAGCGGCAGCGCCTCCTGCTCACGCTCGACACGCCACTCTGCTCCAGCTCACCTCCTGCTCGACACTCAACACGCACTCTCTCAGCGCACGCGTCTCGGCACACTCACACTCTGCAGTCACCCTCGACTGCATCACCACTCACACTCACTCGCCGAGGGCAGGCGCGCGCGAGCACGTGCGACAGCGTCACTCTCCAGCGTCACCGCCTGCTCACACCGAGCGACGCACGCGCCAGTCGCATGTCCGCAGCTCACAGGCGGCGCGCGCGCGCGCAGTTCACCCCTGCGCGACACTCACACTCGAACTTCTCTCCAGCTCCCCTTCCGTGGTGCCACACTCGACGACGCCGCACGCGGCGCGAGGCACCCGCGCAGCGCAGCGCGCGAACGCACGGCGGCCAGCGCAGGCCGCGCGCGGCGAGCGAGGCGGCAGCGCACTCCGCGAGCACCTCCGCTCAGCACTTCACACTCGACCGCTCTCCAGGGGCTCACCGCGTTCCGCTCACACAGCTCCCGAGCGTCACCCTGCGCTCACACGCACATCTGCTCGCAGCCAGCGCCGCGCGCGGTCACACGATCGCCAGGGCGCACCCTCCTGCTCACGAGTTCACGCTCCCAGGGCACCTCCTGCTCACACTATCTCTCGAGCTCAACGCGGCGCGCAGCTCACGGCGCGCCAGCGGCACCGCGCGGTGCTTCACACGGACACGTTCAGCGTGCTCCTCCAGTGCTCACTATGCTGACTCAGGCGTAGCGCGGAGATGAGCGGAGCTCAGCTCCCATGGTGCGAAGGGAGGCACGGCAGCGTTTCGGGGACAGGAAGGCATTCAGACTGGCAGAGTGGTGACCCTTAAGTAAGGTTTCCTAGACGGTAGACAGGTTTCGTCGGCAATGTTGCAGTGGTCATTTGACACGGCCCGTAGCAGCGTGCTTGTCAGGTGCCAGCCAGCGCTGGAAGGGCAGAGCTTACCAGACATTTATTGCGAATTAATTGGTCGACAGACGCAGGGCGCGGAGGAGAATTTTATGGTGATCATCGCAATTTTAGAGAAGGGCACCAAATAGGGGACGAGAGGGAGGCAACTTGTGCGAGAGGTCGACAGGAGTCAAGTTAAGCGGCAGATTGGGACTCGAAGGCCAGGGCTGCCTGGCTTCAGAGCCCAATGCTGACCACCGTGTGTATAAAATCTGTGGACTTCTAGCCAGTGCAGTGCTGCGAGCGTATTTCGAGGAGAGGAAGAGAGCAGCTCTGCCGGGCCAGCAGCATGAGTCTTTCGGATGGCCAGGGCAGCTCTCACCCTCTCGCCTACGCTCCGCAGGCCTCAGCGCAATGCGTTGCTCAGAACCAAGTGTACGCAGCTCCAGGCGAAAAGGCAGCGAGCACGCCCACGCACCCAATAGCGTTTGCCTTCCGAGACTAGTGAAGCTAGGAAGTCAGGCACGAGACAGAAAAGAAAAAAAAAAGGATGAGCGCTGGTCACGGGTTCCATTTCCTCAAGTGGAAGGAAGCGGTACTAGCGCGGCGTGCGTCCCGCCCATCCCCAGTCGCTCACCCGTGTGGAGTGGGCGCAGGCGGGTAGGCCCCCCAGCACCCGTGAGACCGAGGGGGACAGCTGAGACCTGCGATAGATTAATCAGTGCGGGGGCCGGCTGCCGGTGCTCGAGCTACTAAAGAATAAAGGACTAATAAGTACCGCCTCAAATTCAGCGGAGGGACGATGCCAAGACAGCAATTCACATGTCCGCCCCCGACATTGGAATACACGATTGCTGGTTGCTCCGTTGTATGGTTGCAGTTGCGTCTTTCATGCTTGCGCTTTCCTCGCGCGTGGTCCAGAGGCTGTCAGAGAGGGCATAGGAATAAGAATCGCCGTGAAGATCTGATGATATCTAATGATTTCTCCCCATCGTGACACACAACGCGCCAGACTTTGTTTTGTTCATAGTTGTTGTTGAGAGTCTCGACGGAACGCAACTAAGGAAGCAACGGGTTCAGTTAGACTTTAGTTTCTTCTACTTAATATCCCCATAGTCGATCGTTAGTGACTCTATCTCTCATCTTGAACTTGGTGAGGAACTGGTAGCGCTCAGGTCCAGGGGACCTTCTAAGACAAAAGAGCATAAGATTCTGAGGTCTTGAGAGGGGACTAACTATGTTGGGTCCGCAATTACCGGAAAGACATATGAGCAGACACCACTCATACCCAGCAGAGTCGTCGTGGGGATTTTTCGGAAGATGCAAATGACCGTAAGAAGGGAGGTGAAGCTTTTTGAACTTGGAAAGGCGGGTGAGAGTTAAGCGTAAGCCCAAGAAGTGGCAGTTTCGAGTGTGAACAGCTGGAGTTATCTACTTGATGTAATGGCACATGAAGTTTTCTCTGGTGTCTTTTGAAATGGTTGTATATGCTCCAGAGGAGAAGACAAAGGGAGACAAGGAGAGTCCAGCTGAGACCGGGTTCACCACCATCCTACATCAAGCAGTGGAGACACAATCTGTGAAGGCGTGCTACGAGATGAGATTGAGGTGGCGCGTGGTTAGAGGAAATGAGAGTGAGCGCAAAACTTGAATCGCTGCAAGCAGAAGGACTTTTTCCGGGGCCAGCTCTGATTTGTGTCGGGTTGTTCCTTGGCGTCCAGTTCAAGAAGAAGAGAGGGATCAGAAGGAGACAGGGCCTCAGCGCAGGAGTACTATGGTAAACTTCTTTAGAATCTGTTGCTGTCTGGCATTGGGCTTTCGTCCCGGGTACATCAGCGTATTAAAACAAAAACGAACCTCTGCAGGATGGGCGCGTGTACGGAAGAATCCTGCAGCAAGGTACCATAGGCAGAAAGATTTGTTCGTTTGTTCGGGTGAGTAATGAGTCAAGTGTTAGTGGGTTGTGTGATATTTAAACGTAATTCTCCAATAGTGAAAAAAGGGAAACTCATAGGGTGTCAAGAGCATGTGGGATCGTCCTGGCCCTCGTTGGCCCAAGAATGTGTCAATGAGACGTAGTGAACTATGCAATGGAATGCTTATTCTCAGGACGGAGAATAGGTAAGACGATTGCGGCTCGAC